TCTTCTAGTCCAATTAGCACCATAAATTGCTGGAAGAAGTACCTGGGAAGGTTTATGATTTTATGTAAGGAACAGTGGAGAGTCAGGATACCTGACTTTTGGTGGAGGTTCTGTTACTAAGTAGATGGATGAATTGGGGCAGTTTAAATACCTGTAAAGTTAGGGAGTTGGACCAATTCAGTAGTATAAAACTTGACCTGGAGACCTTAGTAAAGTTTTGGATCTCTAGATCCCACTCACCATGAACTGAAATGACTCACTAGAGTTGGAGCACATTGATTTTCTTCAGAGAACATCGCTCAAGAGATTCTATCATGTGGCTGGTGTGGAAAACATTGTGATAGTCACTGTGTAGGGTCACTTCTAGTTCCAAAGTGCTGTATTCCCATTAAACCAATATACCCTGCACAAGACAGGACTGACTGGATGATGTGCTAGTGAACAGAATGACCGTATCACAGTAATTTTTTTTAAGCCCACGTGATTCATACTATATATAAATGAAACAATTGATTCAGAGAGTCTAGCACAGTGCAGGAGAATTATGAATCTCTCATATATATATCACACAATGTTTCACTTCTATTCAAACATTTTCAGTGGCCAGTTTTTTCAGAAGTGGATGTCCTTGTCCTTCTTCTCAGTCTGTCATCATCTGGAAGTTCTGCTGAAACCTGTCCACCATGGGTGACCCTACTGGTATTTGCAATACCGATGGCATAGCCTCCAGCCTCACAGCAACATGCAAGCCACCACAATATAACAAACTGACAGATGAGTTGTGTCAGTGAAGCTGCAGTACTGAAGGAGTCTATTGGCAAAATACTGAACAATGCAGGAAGCATCAGAAGAAGATAGAAGGAATACATAGTCACTGTATCACAAAGAATTGGTCAATGTCCAACTATTTCAGGATGTAGCATATGATCAAAAACCAATAGTACTGAAGGAATAAGCCCAAGCTGCACTGAAGGAAATGGCAAAAAACAAGGCTCCAGGAATTGACAGAATACTCACTGAGATGTTTCAACAGATGGATGCAGTGCTGGAGGGGCTTACTCATATACGCCAAGAAATTGGGAAGACAGCTCCCAGGCCAACTGACTAGAATAGATTGATATTTATGCCCATGCCAAAGAAAGGTGATCCCCCAGAAAGTGGAATTATCAAACAGCATCATTAATACAACATGCAAGTAAAATCTTGCTGAAGAAAATTAAAAAATAGTTATAGCTTTATATTGACAAGGAACTGCCAACAATTCAAGCTGGATTCAGAAGAGGTTGTGGAACAAGGGATATCACTGCTGATGTCAGATGGATCTTAGCTGAAAGCAAAGAATACCAGAAAGATGTCTACTTGTTTTGTACTGACTATGCAAAAGCATTCAACTGTGTGGATCATAACAAATTATGGATAAAATTGCAAAGAACGGTAATTCCAGAACACTTCATTGGTTGCATGCTTTCACCACACTTATTCAATCTGTATGCTGAGCAAATAATCTGAGAAACTGGACTATATAAAGAAGAATGCAATATCAGGATTGGAGGAAGAATCAATAACCACCTGAGATAAGCAGATGACACAAATTTACTTGCTGAAAGTGAGGATGATTTGAAGTACTTACTAATAAAGAAAATTAAAATCCTCACAACTAGACCAATATGCAATATCATGATAAACAGAGAAAAGACTGAAAGTATCAGGAAGTTCATTTACTTGGATCCACCCTCAACATCCATGGAAACAGCAGTTAGGAAATTATACGTCGTATAGCACTGGGAAAATCTGCTGCAAAAGACCTCTTAAAGTGTTAAGAAGCAAAGATGTCACTTTAAAGACTAAGGCATGCCTGACCCAAGCCATGGTCTATCCAATTGCCTCATATTCATGTGAAAGCTGGATGATGAATATGGAAGACCAAAGAAGAACTGATGCCTTTGAATTGTGGTGTTGGTGAAGAATGCTGAAAGTTCCATGGACTGTTAGAAGAATGAACAAATTTGTCCTGGAAGAAGCACAGCCAGAATGCTCCTTGGAAGGGAGAATGGCCAGACTTTGCCCACTTTGATGATGTTGTCAGAAGGGACCATTCTCTAGAGAAAGATATCATGGTTGGTAGAGTGTCAGTGAAGAAGGGGAGACCCTCAATGAGATGTGTTGACACAGTAGCTCCAATGATGGGCTCAGCATTGCAAGCTCTGCTGGTATAGTGACTAAGGCATTTGACTGCTAACACAAGGCTGGCAGTTCAAACCCCCCAGTCACTCCTTGGAAGGAAGTTTTGGCAATCTACCTCCATAGTGATACCACCTCAGAAACCCAAGAAGGGGTCTCTATCAGTGAGATCCGAATTGACAGCAGTGAGGTTTTTTTTTTTTTTTTTAAATATATGTGAGATTGACCATCTGTATCAGGGAATTTTGTAAAAGAGATACCTTGAAGAAGCAAAGCCATCGAAATAAGAGAAACAAAAATTATCTTGCATATCAGTGACTTGTACATATACTATGGCATTTATTTCCATACAGCTCACCCTTGCATCAAATACTGCTGTGTTCATTTTCCTGCTCTATAAATTACTACCTTGCACCCTTGAACAAGTCACTTAATTCTGTTTATGCCCTTAGTTTCCTCTTTGGCAAAATGGAAATTTAAAATACCTACCTCATAAGCTTGCAATGAGAATGCATAGGCATAATGCCCAGGAAACCTTCTTGGGATGCTAATCACATACATGTTGTTGTTGTGTGCCATGAAGTCAATTTTCTGCTCATAGCAACTCTACAGGACACAGGATAATTGCCATATGGGATTTTCTAGGCTGTAATCTTTATAGGAGCAGATTGCCAGGTCTTTTCTTTTCTGGGGTGGTTGGTGCATTCAAACCACTGGCCTTTTGGTTAGCAGCAGAATGCTTGATCATTGCTCCACCAGAGCTCCTTATTACATACATAGCAATTATTTAATGATTTGATAGGGGATAAGATGATAATACAGTGATCTTTTGAGATCTTGTTACTCAAAGTGTGCCCAATAGCCCAGCAGCATCAAAATTACTCGAGAACTCATCAGGAATTCAGAATGTTGGTCCTTGACTCCAGATCTCCTGAATTAGACTCTCTATTTTAAGAGTTCCCCCAAGTGATTTGTATTCATGTTACAGTTTGAGAAGCTCTGATACAGAAAAATAAGACTGGGATTTAGCAACTTGACAGACCTCATGATGGAAATAAGCCCAGGAGCTGGGAGTCACACCAAATCAAATGACACTAAAGTCAGTGTCTTTCTCTTATACCTCAAAGAACATCTCCAACCCAGAGGCATTCAGGTTTCCTGTCATTACAGAAGTAGTTCAACAGGCTTTTTTTCCACAGTGCCTGTGGGTGGTTTCAAACTGACAACCTTTATGTTAATGTTGTTGTTATGTGCCGTCCAGTCGACCCGACTCATAGCAACTCCTCCTTGGGTTTCCGAGGCAGTATCACTATGGAAGTAGATTGGCCCATCTTCCTTCTGAGGAGTGGCTGGTGGGTTTGAACTGCCAGCCTTTTGGTTAGCAGTCAAATGCCTTAGGCACTACGCCACTGAGCTCCCTTTACGCTAATAGCCTATCACAAATTTGGATACTTTTCTTCTAATCTGAGCTGTCACTGAAAGGCCTTTTAAAAATATATATATTTTTGTGTCTACCAGAGTAGCACCAGCAGCATAATTTTGTTTTCTTTTTCACATTTTCAATTATTCAGTTGCTTTATTTGTCACCATTTAGGGAATTATTACAAAACTTACATCTATAATGCTTTTGATTAATGCATATTTAGACAACTAAGCAGATGTAGAATGGATTGAATGCTTTGATCAAATGAAACATTGATGAAACATATATTTGCACAGCAAAAATGATGTCACAGTTTGTATAAATAACAACAGATCTATTTTCCTAACCATCTAGAGGGGGGAAAAAGTGAGAGGGTGACAGAATCATCAAATATGTCTGCCTTTACTAGGCAGATCATTTTCAAGTACAAGTTGTGGGTTTTTTTCTTAATGTGAATAAAATTATGTTAATTAATAGGATTTATTGCCACTTGAAAACAGAGTAAGTGTATATGAAGCGAAAAAAAAAAAAAAAAAAGTAGATGAGACCTAAAGCATGTTCCCAGGATGTCATGTACATTGTGGAAAATCCTTGTTCTTAATGTCCTCCTCCACATTACTACAGTTTGATTCTATACAAGAGGTATCCTGAGACTGAGTTAAGCGATTCTAATATATACATTTGTTTTTTTCACCTTTTGGCATCTTTGAATTTGGAATCTTAGAATTGGTGGCATATCACAGTTTGATTGGAAAAATTTTTTTTAACTTTTTTTATAATTGATGGGACCTTGGATTCAATTAATAGGGATTAGGACCCCCAGTAAATCTAACCCTAGACCACAATGAACAAAAACAAAAGAGCTAGAAAGGGAAACAAAAGGGCAAGAAAGGAGACATAATTCTCACCCACATTAAACCAAGAAAAGAAGATGAATAAATAGATATTACGTTAATTCCATGGATTTCAGCTTTCATGGAGCCAGAGAAAGAAATCACGGATGATGAGAGAATTTAGTAAAAGAGCAGGTAAGAGGAGTAAGAGAAATGGGAAAGTGGAGGAGAGATAATGAAGCATCAAAATGGGAAATAGAGCCAATAAGCCCACTGTTTTGATCACTATTTCCTAGATACGGTGCCTCAGGCTAGATATTCAGCTAGCTGCTTTTTTCCCTACAGAATATGGTCAGTAGAGATCCTAGAGGATGAGATGTGAGAGTTTTCAACACCTTTCAAGGTGTTTGTTTTTTTTTTTTTTCCTCTTCTGTGGCCTACGCAGGTGGAAGTTGGCACTATCACCCCACACTCTCTGAGCACCTCCTTTCATCTCAGTCTCAAACCACTGGGGAAGGTTTGAATCATCATCACAACCTCTGCTTTTCTGCTTGTTCTTTCAGGTGATATCAAGATTATCGAACAAATCTACGGTCTCGCAGGTACGGCTTTTACTAAAGAGCAAAATAATTATCTAGTACCTGGAGGATTACCAATATTTCTAGCTCCCATTTTAGGGTTTAATGTACTTATTTTTGACTTTCACTAATACAGCTCTCAATGAGAGACGTGGTGACTGACTTTATTGGGCTTGGGAATGGAGACGTATTGAAACTCATAGCCTTAAATAAAGATTTTGCTATTATTAAAAAGCGGTTTCTCATCAAAACCTGCCAAAAGCACAAAGTCCTGAGGTTTTGATCTTAATATACTTTCATCGTATTTAAAATGGACAGTCAAATATTTTCTTGTAAGCAACCAATTAGTGAAACAAGTATCTATAATGTAGACAAGTGTGATTTAAAGATATTCTGGAAGTAGTTTCACATGTGTTTGTAAGATAGTTCCAACTTTTAAGTACCCATCAAAATTTCATTGGGTTCCTTCCCAAGAAATAGCAATTTGTCAGATTTATTAGCTAGGCTTCTTATTACCAATAATCTCATGTCAGGAATCCTGTGAACAGCTCATTTACTTATTCTGTATCCTCTTTACAAGGAAGGTTGATGGTTCAAGCCCACAAGCCACTCTGTGGAAGCAAGACTGAGCAATCTACTTCCACAAAGATTTACTGCCTCAGAAACCCAATGGGGGTCACTACTGAATCAGAATTGACTCAATGGCAGTGGGTTTTTGTTTGTTTCTTTGTTTTTTGTGTCCTCTTTGAAGGCAGAACTCAACATTTTTACTCATGCACATAGAACATTAAATGGATATGTTTATATAAAACATAAACATATTTATTATTTATTAAAGATGGGTGGGGGGCATCAAATAGGGGTTACTTTTAATATTAATTGGGAAACTTTTTAGAAGCTCTTAAAGTATCTTTCAACCAATTTCCTTTCTGACACTAGTTGTCTCTTCACTGTAAAATTCCTCCTCAGCAACCAGCAAAATGTCCCTTATGTTTCAACTGTTCTCCCTAAGCAGCCAGTCCTCTTTACTGCATCTCCTACCTTTCCTATAGACCTTTCAGTATGTTCTCTTTCACATGAAGAGCAATTTAGCCATCTTTTGGATTTTCTAATTTGACTCCCTCACTTCTTCATTGAAAAGAAAAAAAACCCACCAAACTTATTGCCATCAAGTCTATTCCAATTCATAGTGATCCCATAGAACAGAGAAGAACTGCCCCATAGAGTTTCCAAAATTGTAATTTTTATGAAAGCAGACTGCCACACCTTTCTCCCACAGAGCGGCTGGTAGGTTTGAACCACCAATTTTTGGTTAGCAGCTAAGAACTTACCCACTGCACCACCAGGACTCCTTCACTCCTTCATAGCACTCCGAATATAAAGATCCCTTTCAAGAATAAACCATCCATAAAAGTTGGAAGAGGGAGCTATTAACTGGGGGGTGGGGGGTGGGGGTGGCTTTCTATACAATTTAAGCTGAAATTCATTTGCACGATTAAAACCACCAAAATGTCTAAGTACAACCAAACACCTCATTGAGTTTGGTTCCTTGGTTTGGAGGTTAGGGCCATGGTGTTATGGGATATCCCAGTTAAGTGGCCTAATAACATAGGCCACATCTACCTCCTAATTCATTGTATAGTGCCTGGTGTCTTGAAAGCTTGCAAATGGCCATCCAAGGCACAAAAATTGATCTTTATTCACTTGGAGCAAGAGAGGAAGAAGGAGAGTCAGGAATAGGAGGAGGATGTGGAATGTTTGGTCAGTTGGCTCCATAAACAACTGCTTCCTTTGCCATGAGAAGGAGATCATGAGTAAAAGGAAGATATGGAACATGTTGCTAATTGCCTCCAGGAACAACTGCCTCCTTTGTCATGAGACCTGGCTACCGTCACTAACATTTTGGTCAAAGACTCTACAGAAGAATCCTGATCAAAAGGGTTAAAATACAGAACAGAATTTCAATTCTCTTGCACTCCAGACTTCATGGATCCCTGAAAGTTGTATGAACCCTTGAAACTACTGCCTCAAGATAATCTTTAAACCTTAACCCCAAAATATCCCTTGAAGTGTTCTTAAAACCAAAATGTCTGCCTTGAGCATTTTTTTTTTTTTTTAAGGACTATCTCTAGGGTGTCCCTAGGTTGCATAGGAGATCCACTCCTAACTCTGGCTGTAGGAATTTGTAGGAAAATCAGAATAGGTGCATGCAGCTTTTATTTAGCCTTACTTTAGTGCAAGAAAAGACTTGAAGGTTTTTCAATGATTTGAAAGCATCATGTGCATCAAGTGAGGTGACTGTAATGAAGAATTTGATGCAAGTAAGAGATGGTTTAATCTACAAAGTGAGGGGGAAATTTATACAACATTAAAAGGCAAGTAGGAGTTGGCCTTAAGTCAGATGTTCCCAATCTGAGGACTGCCTTTATATGGAATCAAAGTGAAGACAACAATTTGAAAAGATTAGACAGGAACCTCAGGGGGTAGTGAATTTATATCAATGAGAGAGGAATAGCTTAGAAAAGGAGGTTGAGAATGGTTGCACAACTCAAAGAATGTAATCAGTGTCACACTAAATGGTACATGCAGAACTGCAGAAATGGTATCCCTCTTGCTGTGTATATTCTCAATAACAACACCACCAACAACAACAAAAGCCCACAAGAATAACAGTGGTTTCAAGACAACAGAAGTTTATTTCTCTCTCATGAACAAATCCATATATAGACACTCTAACAGCTCCAGAGTATAAACTAGGTCTGAAGAAGTCTTTTTGCTTCTCCATTCTCACCCTATGGCTTCCTTCCTCAAAATATCCTCATTCTCTAAGATGGTAGCTGGAGATGGATCTCTTTCACACATATTCTAGGCTATAAATCACAAATATGTGAAAAAGAGGGATAGAGCCCCCCCCCCCACACACACACTTCTAGCAGCCTTCCTAACCTACATTCTTTTCTAAGAGTATGTCCCAACCTGTCCACTTACATGTCATCATCACAGAGCTTAGCCACATGGCCAAACCAAGTGGCAAGGGAAGCCAGGAGAGATGGTCTTTTGGCACGGTGCATTGCTAAGAGTTCTGTGAACTGAGAAAGAAGTAGAGATTGCATAAAAAAGAAGTAACCAGCACTCTCAATGGCACATAACCTTACAAAACTTCATTATCATCATTATCATCACAAGAGATGCATTTTTTAAGCACTTTCTAAGCTAAATGCTTAACTTGCATTATCTAGTAGATAGTGTTTTGTTCCTTTGTTTGTTTGTTTTGTTTATTGTTATTTTACAGGGAAAAAAATGGTTTAATGGTTACATTGCTTGACTAAAATTACAGCTAGCACTAGAAGTGTGTGCCCCAAAGTCCATGGATTCAACCACTAGACTTCATGCTGCTTCCCCTTTAGTAAAAACAGGTTTGACTCAATTTAGTCATTTGAGAGCATTAAATTGCTGTCCCAGCAAAAGATCATACATGGCCCAATTTGAGATCTGTTTGACTATAGGGATGAAAACCTCATTGTCCTTATGGAAGTATTTGCTAAGAAGAGAATGAAGAGGAAGTTCAAAAGAGAAGGAGGAGATCTGCAGTCTGAACTCTGTGACACTGTATACACAGTTCAGTATGGCTACACAAGAGAAACTATGTCCTATGTATAGATGCCCTGAAGTAACTGGTACTACTACTAAGATGCTAATGTGGGGCTAGATGTTGGTAATCTAATAAATTAGGATCCTGGATGCAGTAATGGTAGGTGGAATAATTAATTCTTGTATAAGTAATACCTGCTGCCTTGTTTATAAAAATCTGTGACTTAGCAACGTGTCCAGGGTTCCAAGCCTCCACTGAAAAATGGAAATAAAACTTATGGAAATACAAACACTTTATAGGTTATTAGTCAGAAGATTATAATAGAGCCAACAGGGCCTTGTTGAAACAAAGCAATGATTAATTTGACAAAGCAAATGTAAACAGAAGTCCAATTAGAGGATGTACTCATTGTTTTTCATTTATTTGACAAGTTTTCCCTGTGTGTCTTTCACTGGGTGAGCTGGTTTTTCTGTTCCAATATGCTAGTGTACAAATGTTTCCCTGTAAGTCCTTGTGGGCCAAACTTTTTTTTGTTGTTAAAACACAGTTTTAAAATGCTGTGAAATGCAAAAAGCAAGGAAATAAATCTTTTTTAAAATATGGCTGTCCCAGTAAAGAATTTATGGATTTTTATGGTTTACCATTAATCAAAACAATTATATCTAGCTGGAAACATAAATCTACTAATGCCATTTCCTCAAGAAATTTTGAACCATTTAAGATTAACACCACACACACACACACACAATTTCATGGGAAAGTCAAATATTTCACTTAGCAGTATGGCATTCACTGAATTACCTGTAAGTCACCATAGGTTGAAGTTCATCATTTTTGTTCATTTTTCATTTTGTTCATCATTTGTTATTGTTGTTATAACAAGTATCATCACTACTGGGGATATAGTAAAGGTCACATATACCAATGAACCAACTGGTTATGAATAACCATGATAGCATGAGATTTAAATGCTTTCAGGCATTTGGGTTTATTATTCTCATTTTTATTAGAAAGTATTCATGAGCAAATATAGGTAACTGCATCTTCAAAAGAAACTGAGAGCAGAAAAATGAAGTGACCTTTTGGGGCAGGGAAGCCATGTCTGGGGCAGAGCATGACACACTCTGAAAGGGATTCTGTCGAGGGCCACTAACTTAGGCTTCACTGTCCTCTGCCCTACCTACCCCTCCATCATCACCTCAGTTGTACTGTTCCATCCTCTCTCTTGCTTATTTTTAGCCCAAAATATTAGATGACTCCAGTCAAGAGTTTTATGCTCCTGACATGGGTTTGGCAAGACTATTTCTCCTCCCTTCCCAAGGCTTGGTCAACCCACTTGTGCAAATAAGGGGAACAGGAAGCAAAGTAGCTGAGACAATTCTGATCCATTTCCATCTATACAATTCAAAACAAGAAAGGCTTTGTTGTTGTTGTTGTTGGTTTTTTTCCTGAAGGACAACAGCTGATCTACACATAAAATTCCACTGAATACCCTGTAATTTTAGAATAACAAGGTGAAGGCCTTCCATTAAAATTGAAATTTTCTTTATTCCTAAGAGCATGCCATTATATACAACTACAAGTGAAAGGCTAATTAAAATCAAGATGCAAACCTGGTAAAAAGTATTTTTCACACAGCTCCTTACCCATTCCACTCCCATCAAGGCACTTAAAAAGACCAAGAGGTATGGGGCAGGGGAATTAAAACTAGGAAAGTAGAGCACTTACATGATGGAGAGATTTAAAAAAAAAGGGGGGGGGGGAAGACATTTAATATATGACTAAATAATAGCAAAGTCTGCAAAGACAACAGTTTTGCCAAGAATTAAGTCTCTAGGGGCTGTAACTTTCTTCAAATGACAACTCTACCATGAATGATGTACTTCTCAAGGTCTTTGCAATCTGTACCAATCTGTGTTCTCCTCTGATTTAGTCAGAGCCCAAGGGAAATGGCAGCATCAAGAAGAGACTCCCATCCATTGTGGAAGATGAGGAAGAGGAGGAGGAGGGGGAAGAAGAGGAAACTGCCTCCCTCTCCCCCATCTACACAAGGGGACCTTTCTCATCACGTAACAAGAAGGCTGGAAGCAATAAAAGTTATCTGGGTTTAAGCCTGAAGCAGCTGGCCTCAGGAACGGTGCCATTTCACTCACCTATCAGAGTCTCCAGTTCATATTCCCCAAAATCCAAACAGGAAACTGACCCCCCTAATCATACTAAAAGGAAAGAGAAGAACTTGAAATTGCAACTTTCAGCCTTGAATAGTGCTGGACCCCCAGACCTCAGTCCCAGGTAAGTCTTGACATCTTATAACTCTTCCCACGTACTGTGGCTGCCTTTTATTCAGCCAAGTACTAAACTAGTAAATTATTCTACCTTCTGGGCCTTTCTACTGCATAGGTTCCTGACTGACCCCAATTTTTTAGTTTTCCTGAATTTCATGTGCTGTTTTTTCAGCATATGTGCAGGAGTGTGTGCTGTATGGGAACAAATATTATTAATCATATTTTCAAAGGAGTCCATTAAATGTTTAGAATTCCTTTTCTACTTCTTTCATCCATTTAGTCTGTCATTATTTAAAATGCGTATTTCTACATTGTAATTTTATAATTTACAAATTTAAAATGAATATAATAGAGATGAAACAAAGTCTACCAAAGTCAACCCTCAATGTCTGATCTTACCAATATTTCCATGGAGCATCACGTTGAAATTATGAAGAAAATAAATTAATGATTTCTATTTTCCATGTTTTTTTCCTCCTTGTTGTGGATGACTGAAACTTAATTTTACTTCTGGCCTCTGTAGTCGATAATGTCTTGCAACAGGGCATTGCTCTATTTTTAATTTTTAAAATGTCTACATTGGAATCTATGAAAGCTGATTAAAAGAGCAAAAAATGCTGACTCAGAAAATGTACAAGGGGCTAGCTATGGTGCATAGAAGCAATAGCAATAGTTAAAATCACATAATGTCTGAATCATAAATAGACTCACAAGGAAAAAAAACTACTGAGTGCTTTCTATGTTCTGTGCATTTTGCTAGGTAATTTCACTTTCATTATTGCATTTACTTTTCTCAGGAATTCTATGTAGTAGTTCATATTACCTCTACTGTGAAGTTATAAGAAGTGAAACTTGAAAGTTAAATATTTTTATCTCAGAAATACTAAGTTCTGAAAGCTGGATTCAAATTCCATTTTTCTTTTTATAAGGCAAGTAATATACAATCTAATAATTATTCATTTGAATAATATGACTTATCCATTAGAGGGAATATTAAGAATCTTAAAAAAGAAAAACTAGGTTTAGTGAAAAGTAGGCGTACATTAAATGTTCAGGAATTCGGTTGAAGATGGTAATTTGAACACATTGCTTATTTCATTTTTAAATAGTAAGAGAATGTGTCAGAGCTGGAAAAAGAAAAGTGTGTGCATAATATGATCCCACATTTATAAAAAGAACATATATTATTTTCTACATAGAAAAATATTTTGAGGTCATATGGCAAAATGTTAATGGTAGATTGTAGTGATTTTCATTTTCTGACTTTTGTTACTTTTATTCAAAAATTTTCTACAATGGACTTGTATTATTATTATTATTATTTTTTAAATAAAGAATGGGCTAGATATGATTTACCAAGAAAAGGAGACTAGGTAAATTCCTAATGTTTTTGTTGTTGTTATGTGCCGTCGAGTTGGACACGACTTATAGCGACGCCTCCTTGGGTTGCTGAGGCAGTATCCCTACAGAAATAGATTGCCCAACCTTCCTTCCAAGGAGTGGTTAGTGGGTCTGAACCACCAGCCTTCTGGTTGGCAGTCAAATGCCTTAGGCACTATGCTACCAGAGTTTAAATATTATTCTCATATTCAGAGTTTTGTCCAAGTCCAGAATGGAGGTATCATCAAAGTTATTTTCTGTGATGCTGTAATCATACCTTAAAATATTTTAAGTTGGGTTGGGTAGAGGTGTATGTAATATGAATTTAAATAAGAAGCCTTTTGTATCTTAACAGTTTGAACTGAAAATAAATGATGCTAAACTCTACAGCAATCTTATGCAATAGAAACCTAGTGGGAGCCAGAATTATGACCCATATATGTCATTTAAAAAATTTTAGTAGTCCCATTAGATGAAATTAATTTTAATAATGTATTTTACTTGACCCAATATGCCAAAATACTTTCATTTCAAGGGTGGCCCATGTAAAAAATTATTAATGAAAAATTTATATTCTTTTCCTTTTTACTAAATCTTCAAAATTCAGTGTGTTATTTATATTTACAAAAACAAAACAAAACAAACCTCATCATCATCGAGTCAGTTCCAATTCATAGTGACCCCTCCTTGGGTTTCTGAGGCGGTATCACTACGAGAAAGTAGATTGCCCAAACTTCCTTCTGAGGAGTGGCTGGTGGGTTTGAACCACCAGCCTTCTGGTTAGCAGTCAAATGCCTTTGGCACTACACCACCAGAGATCCTTTACAACACATCTCAATTTGCACTAGCTCCATTTCAAATGTTCAACAGCCATATAAGGCTAATGATTACCACATTGAATAACATAACTAAATTCTCTAGAATTTAAAAACTGAGCACAGCACAATATATAAAACGAAAAGTCTAGAAATACTGAGACCCATTCATTTAAGTGCACAACCCAAGTTTTCCTTTATTTTAAACAGAATTGTTGATGGAATTGAAGATGGAAACAGCAGTGAAGAAAGCCAGACTTTCGACTTTGGCTCTGAACGAATCAAGCCAGAGACCAGAATTTCTCCTCCTCTGGGAGGTGAGCTCTATATTTAGTCTTCTCTCAAGGGGCAATATTTCTTCTCACCTTGTTGTGTATAGCACTGGCACTGCATTCCCATTCTCAGAATACTCTCCATGAGATAGAACTTTACTGATGACATGAAATAATTTGACTTGACTCTGTGCTGTCTCCAAGTTATCAAGATATCATTTGTTATTGTTCCTCTCTCCAAGCTAGATGCCCTACTATTTAAGAGCCAAAGTAAATGGTGTGTCAGGAGAGTCAAATTTCTGCCATTCATCACAGGATAACCATGTTTTCCTATTATAAATACAGACTAATCCACATAAACAACATTACCCAGAGGAAATGCTGTGTTGGTTGTGTACTGTAGGAACATTGGTTATATTTAGGCAATTTATTTGGTGAGAAGTTATTTACTTGCAGTTTTTCAGAGGAAAACAACTTCAGAAGGATGTGCCCGGGTTAGAAATGATGGAGAACTATATGAAGCACTAACATCTAGTAGATAGTCAATGAATGTAAGAGTACCTCAAAATGAGCCCCAGGCCCTCTTTCTCCTGTTCTATCTTGAATTCAGTGCTCATAAAAGGAATCTGTCAACATGATGAAAACCGGAAATGACAAAAAAAAAAAAAAAACCCTCAAGAGACAACCCATAGCTGATGAAGAGAGAATAAACAATCCAAAACAATTACTAGCCAGCTACCAGTTATAAAGCCATCAACTCCCTGCCTACCTTCTCTACCTCTTCCCATCCAATTCTAATTCCCATCCAACTGCACATCAGTGAGTTCTATGGACAAAGCTAAGCCCAATAGACTTCAGAATATACAATTCTGTGGGTAGATCTCTAGCTAGAATACCAGTATTCCATCTCAACAGCAATCTTTCTTAATGTACATCACCTTCTGGGGAAACAGAGGGTCTTGTAAGACTCCTTTATTGGCAGGGAAGGGGAGGAGGAACAGGGGTACAGAAGTCATTCAACAGTCCTGATTTATCAATTCAATTGACCTTCATACATAAATACTACTCTACTTGGGACAAAGGGTATAGAAATCATAGTCATGCAAGCTGATGGTGGGTTGCAGTTGGAAGTATTTCCTGTTGGCTCACGTGGAAATGATGCAGAAAGACTCACCATGTACATCTACCTACTTAAGGTTCCATCAACCCTGAAATTCTTCTTCCCCTTTACTCCAAGTATACCCAAAATTACCCTTTTAAACACAAATTTTCTTGGTTCTACCTTGTAATTGTCTCTCAGCTCCATCCATGGCTTTCCATTCTTATTGCTAACCATCCTTTTCCTTGTTACACACATCTTCAGGCTGAATTACTACCAAAGTCTCTTCTTTGGCCTCACATTGTTGTTCATACAGAGTGAACTTTCAAAAATGCAAATTTATTCTTATTACTATACTCCTATGTTTAAAATTCTCCAAGGCCTTCCCATTGCCCATAGGATGAAATCCAATCCCCTTTTACTTTTTAAATGTCTGCTTCTCTTGCTAGACTCTAACTTCCATGACAGCCAATTTTATTTTCTTTGCAACAGTCTCTATTTAAGAGCCAGAGTAAATGATGTGTCAGGAGAGTCAAATTTCTGCCATTCATCACAGGGTAACCACGTTTCCCTAATATAAATACAGACTAATCCACATAAACAACGTCACCCAGAGGAAATGCTGTGTTGGTTGTGTACTGTAGGAATACTGGTTATATTTGACCAATTTATTTGGTGAGAAGTTATTTACTAGCAGTTTGTCAGAGTCTCTTCTCAAGAAGCCTGACCTATTTTACAGATGTTGTTCTCCAGCCATTTGTTGAATGAATAGATTATCTATGCAAAATATCTCTGCAAATTGATACCACTTCAGATTGTTGTAATGATTGCTTTTCCCACAAACAAGTTTTCTACTTAGAATTGCCAAAATTAGGATGGCCCTGTTATCATTTATTTATTTATTTAGCAAATCCTTTCAACTCCAACTAGCAATGACTCATCTGCAGTTTTGTTCCTACCAGGAATAAATATATTTACAAGAATAAGATAGAGGAGGAATCCCTGGATGGTGCTAAGAATTAAGTGCTAACTCCTAACCAAAAGACTGGCAGTACAAACCCACACAGATGTGCCTGAGAAGGCAGCCCTGATGATCTGCTTTGAAAGGTCGCAGCCTTTAAAAGTCTATGGAGCAGTTCTACTCTGCATACATGGCCTGTCCATAAATTGGGATCAGCTTGACAGCAACAATAACAAAGTAGAGAAGTATAGAAGAGAGAAAAAACTGCTGTTGTTGTTGTTATTTACCATCGAGTTGGACCCGACTCATAGCGACCCCCATTTGGGTTTCTGAGGCAGTATCATTACAGAAGTAGATTGCCCAAACTTCCTTCTGAGGAGTGGCTGGGGGGTTTGAACCGCCAGCCTTCTGGTTAGCAATCAAGTGCCCTAGGCACTATGCTACCAGAGCTCCCAAGAAAAAACTAGGGAATGGGAAAAAAAAAATTACCTTTTATAGTGACATAAGAGGAAACCTGCAGTGAAGATAAGCACCTGAAACAGAAATGGGAAAAATGATCTCATGGACACAGTCATTGTTTAGAAAGCAAAGAGAAGAAGAAAAGGACATCCTTTTTCTGTCCATGGTTTTTTTCACTTACTGTGTTATTTTTTTAAAAAAGTGGTCAGAGAAGACAAAATGAGCCCTCCTGGAACAAGGTGGTATTTATGGTCAGGGGAAGGGGACAGAGATCTGCTCTGGATATATCCAGTCAATATGGTTGTAGTCCCTCCATGATGTGTGCCTAGTTTCACAGAGTATATCAGGTATCATCCAGAGAAGAAATGTGTCAAATCTCAGTGAGAAAAAGCTTTCAATATGAGGTCTATTCCTAAAGGATTCATCTGTGTATGTTATCACTTTTCAGACCCAGAGATTGGAGCTGCTGTTCTCTTCATCAAAGCAGAGGAGACCAAACAGCAGATTAACAAACTCAACAGTGAGGTATGCAGTTTTTCTTTCTCGGTGCAAATTGGAGTGGTAAAAGGAGTTATGAATCCTAGTAACCAGGAGACACAGTATAATATACTGATTACTACCATGCATTCAGATGTCAAACCACAGGAATGAATTCCCACTCAGCCTCATACTAGTTGTGTGACCTCTGACAAGTCATTTAGCCACTCTAAAGTTCAGTTTTCCATGTGTAACAAGGGGATAATACTATTGCTATTGTGAAAATTATATGGGAAAATCCAGGTAAAGAATTTAGCATAAAGTAAGCATTAAATAGTAGTTTACTATATACTTATATTCTTAATTGATTTAATTGATGCTTTTTACATTTTTCCTGTCATTTATTATTATTTTAATGGGTTAAATCGAGACTATTAGTCCACAGATGAATGCTGTTGCTCACAGCAATCAAATGGCCAGCATTATGTTTCTTTATCTTGTACATATTTGCTGTCAAACTTTGCTCAAGTCACTTTATTTCTCTGGATCTTACTACCTATCTATGTAAATAAGGTAATTTGTACTTTGTAACTACTTAACTGAGGTATATTTTATATACCAGAAAATTTGCCCATTTCAAGTATACAATTGAGCAAATAGATTTTTAGTAACTTTATCAAGTGGTTCAATCATCACCATAAATCAATTTTTGAAATCAGTTTTTACCTACTCAGTAAACTCTCTCCTGCCATTTTCAGATAATCCCCATTCCTTCCCAGCCAGGCAACCATTAATCTCCATCCTGTTTCTATGAATTTGTCTTTTATGGACATATCACATAAACAAAGAAATAAAATAACTTTTTGATCACTGATTTAATTTAAGTCCCCCTCTCCAACATAAAAAATTACTTGAATGCAAATAATTTTTGGAGGTAATCAATGACTGCTAACCAGAAGGCTGGAGGTTCAAACCCACCAGCCACTCCTCAGAAGGAAGATTGGGCAATCTACTTCTGTAGTGATACCGCCTGGGAAACCCAAGGAGGGGTCGCTGTGAGTCGGATCCGTCTCGATGGCACATAACAACAACAACAACAATCAAGGAAGTATGATGAAGAAGTAGAGACATCAGACAGAAAAAAGGAAAGTCAAAAAGGATATGTTAATGAGAGAGTTACTTTCATGGACAACTGGGGCTCAATCCTGCTATAGACTTTTGAGAGACTGCAGGGGTAACAATTGTCCCAGCAAGGAAAGTGGAGTTGAGTTGCCTAACAGCAGAGGAGGCTAGAAAGATTTTCCAGAAGAAATATTCAGGAATATTGAGGCCTCTTTGGTGACCATCAGGGTATACATAGGCCAAGAGTATTTGGACAGGCACAGAGAGTCCAACAGAGTACCTTCTAGGCCTAAAGCTTTAGATGATCCAATTACTTCTTAGAGGAAAATGTAACCATGAAATGATATTAGTGAAATTTGAGAAAAATGAAATTTATATCAAATATCTGTAATAACAGAGCACTCTGCAGCTTGTTATAAAATCCACAGATTTTCCTTAAACCTGTGTTTCTTCACCCAAGTGAAGATTTATATTTTGCTGCTCTTTCCTACATCTACACTCTCTGGGGAAGTGTTGCCAACAAGAAGTAAGAGGGCCAACGGACAGACTAACAAGACAGAAAAGGAAAAATTAGATGATCCCCTATCTGGTTTCTCAGTCCTTAAATCACAAGGATCTAAGTATATACACTCATCCACATGACCTCTTGTTGAAATACAACAAAAACAAGTAAATAAAAATACCTGCTAAGGAACTGGTTGTTAACTCTCTATTGAAATATTTTTCTTGAGATATTTTTCTCAGCTAAAAAGACCCAATAATAACATTTGAATTTTTCCCTCTATATTTGGAAAGATCATTTAATGATTTCAATGATTGATTTAACTAATACCTTAGCTTGAGTATTAGAGCTGGTGAATCTTCTAAAAAGAAAAAAAAAATGTATTTATAGCTTCACCTTTTGGAATCCAGATAATTTTTCCAAGTTTAGGCTGTAAATCCACATACTATATAATTTTTCTTTGACAATGTGGGTGCCTTAAAACAGAAAATCACTTAAAAAACAAACCATTTCCCCACAGTAATTGTATATTCACTATTGCTTTTCTGTGAAATGACATGTTTTTATCTTGTCATACACTGAAATAAAAAAGATAAACTATCAATGATCCTTCCCTAAAGAATCAGTTTTTTCTCATAGAAAAATATCTTGATTTCTTCACGGCTGAAGTTTAAGTAGAAAAATCTTATCCTTTGCACCTAATTTAATTTATACAGTCTTGCCCTTTTGGATAATACATTAAAACCTACTAAGACAAGCTAAATGAAATTACAAATTGGCTTAGAAGTGTAAAATTATTCCCCTTCTATTTGTTTTTTTCTTCATTAGCACCTATCAAGCAATTTGCTTTATTGTTATTGACTGTGGTTGAGTGAATTCTGACTCATAGTGACCCTATAGGACCCAGAAGAACTACCCCACAGGGCTTCCTAAACTGTAATATTTATGGCATCAGATTGCCAGGTCTTTTCTCCCCTGTAGCCACTGATGGGTTTATGAACTGCTGACCTTTCAGTTAGTGTTCAAGTGCTTAACCATCTCACCATAGTGCTTCCTTCATACTCCTAAGATAACCACAGACGCACACATACACATACAATGTGTTATTTAAAGTTCAAGCCTAGTTTTTCCATTTCCTATTTCTTACTACTCAAATATGTGATCATTTGATTGCTCTATGTTTTGTTCATTCTATTCTTTGTTTGGTAGCAAGCAAGAGAGAAACTGATAAGTGTGGGATGTACTGCATGATCATAATGTTTCCCAAATACATCTGAGGCATGTGTGCAGAGTGTGAAACACTGTGTTACATGTAAAAAGCATTGAAGAATCCCCTTTCTGTTATTTCTCAAAGACTTGCAACATAAAAACATTGTTCACTGATGTCTAGATTATATAATCAGCAGGCTAAATACAGAACAAAGATTGGAAGAGGAATAATACTAGTAAAAATCTACATTCACAGAAGAGTTAAGAGACTTTAAAAGATGTAGGGCAGTTGCTAATATTGGATTCTTTTTGACAATATTGCCATTGCTTTACAACAGAGTAAGAAATAGTGTGAATTTAAGGAAATTCTTTAAAAATAACAACAAAAGTCACTGTGGGAGTCATGGACTGTGACTCAAATTCTCCATTTCTGAGAAGGTTTGTAGGTAAGGGTGAGAGTGCCCTCTCATTCTAAACTCTGGCTGACCCAGAAAGACATTGCACAGTGCCGACCAAGGGAACCTGCCTGCTCTGCCACCGCAGGCATAAAACACACTACTGGCGAAAAGGAGTAAGAGATGGAAGCTTAGATACCTAAGTCATACAATTAACTATGTGACTTCAGCAAGGTGTTTAACTTTCCTAAGCTCAGATTTCTTCTCAATGAAGTAGTAATAATAAATTCAGAAATACAGGATTGTTGTAAGGTCTTTACACCATTCATAAAGCACTGAGTGTGATGTCTTCCCTTAATTAGTACTCAATAAATGCTGGTTCCCTCCTCCTAAAAGATTAAACTTCTATTCACCAAATGATGACTCTCATATTAGTGGCCTCTCAGTAAATAACAGTGCCTAGTAAATAACAGTACCTAGTACAGAGTAGGAGCTCTGGTAGCCTAGTGCCTAAGGCACTTGACTGCTAACCAGAAGGCTGGCAGTTCAAACCCACCAGCCACTCCTTGAAAGGAAGGTTGAGCAATATACTTCCATAGTGATACTGCCTCGGAAACCCAAGGAAGGGTCGACTCGACGGCACATAACAACAACCACCACAGTACAGGGTAATAAAGGAAGAGGAAATTACTTAGTCAATGTTTACAGGGTAAAGTAAAAATAAATGGGCTTAATAAGAATGTATTTGATCATGAAAATGATTACTTTCATACGAGTTTTTTTTAGTTATGAAGACACACAATATGAAAATATAATAGAATATATACTATGGTATTTTCAATTGCCTCATATATGCATCTGGAAGCTGGACAATGAACAAGGAATACCAAAGAAGAATTGATGCCTCTGAATTGTGGTATTGGTGAAAGATACAAGAAATATCATGGACTGCCAGAAGAATGAAAAAATCTATCCTGGAAGAAGTTCAGCCAGAATAATCCTTAGAAGTGAAAATGGTCAGACTCAGTCTCACCTACTTAGGTCATGTGGTCAGAAGGGACCAGTTCCAGCAGACGGATACATGCTTGGTGAAGTGGAGGATCAGAGAAAAAGGGAAAGACCCTCAATAAGATGGATTGACACAGTGGCTGCAATGATGGGCTCAAGCATAGCAAGGATTGTGAGGATAGCACAGGATTGGGCAGTGTTTCATTCTGTTGTACACAGGGTTGCTATGAGTGAGAACTGACTTGATGGCCCCTAACAACAACAACAAATCAGGGCAGATTGTTTATAATATACTTCAAACACCTCATATCAGCTAAACGGTTTGATGCAATTGTGCCACTATTTATTTAAAGAATATGTATTCTTTAAGACTGATAGATTTGGACTTCCAGTCCAAATCTAGATGGTGGACTAGGAAGAAAGACTGCACAGACCCTCTTCAACAAAGAAAAGCGAAACCAATTAACACAGACACAGAAGATAATCCTGGACCTCTGAGCCTTGAAGGGGAGGATATAGAAGTGGACTAAACCCAAACTAGAAGAAGAATTTGCATGAAAATACCAAAAAAGGAGACAGATGGAGCTGCGGTCTGACAGCAATCCTGAGTGATCCTGACAGCACAGTGCAGACAGCTTGGAGATTCCTGAGTAGGGGTAGGACCTAAGAATTAACCTAGAAATCAGCCCTGCTAGCCAGGACTACACGGAGGACTGCTCTGGTGGCTGAGGAATAAACGGAGAAGGTAAAGAGAAAGGCGTGTTGAGCTGTGACTTTTGCCGGTCCGGAGGGTGCCGCCATTTTGAATGTTT